CTGAAAAATCAAGGCGAAGAAAGCAGATGAAGGGAGTTGCCAAACATACATGGAAGCAAATTCAAATGAAGGGAGTTGTCAAACACCCAAGAAGGCGAATTCAAATGAAGGGTAAATTGTATCGTTTCCAATTGTCCATTTTAATACAATTTTTGATATAATTCTCTTTTCCTTTGATAGGAAGCATCAAAGACCTGAAGGACAAATGCAAACGAGGGGTAATGTTGTATCGTTCCCAAATTTTTAATCCTTAAAGTGTCTTTAACTAACACATTCTTTCCAATTCTTTACAGGGTTACCAAGTCGCCATGCCGCAGGTAAGTACCCTTCTTCCAAAATTCAAATGAAAATTTTCTTCATGAAAAAATGGGGGAGTTTATGATGTATTTGAGAAAAGAGCACAAAAGTAGAATTGTGAAAGCAAACTTTTCACGAAAATTTTGAATATCGTCTTTGTCCAAAAATCGCCTTGATGCTTGGCGGATCATTCATTTTGAATCAAAATTCCCTGTGGAGATTAATTAATCCGTGATGATCTCAATAAAATGAAAAGGAGATGTTAATTATGCCAAGTGAGAAACACTTAAGATAAAGAAAGGCAAACCATTCCCAAACACGTCCTGTAAACACTTTGAGAGGAGCGAAAAAGAGAAACTCGTGTTGTTTAAGGACGAGAGATTCATTCGCGAATAGTATACAGATCGAAATGAAAAGAGGCATTTCCTTCTTATATCCTATACACTACAGGTGATCATAGTTAAGCCCATTTGAGCCTTTAAATGTGAAGAATTCTCAAAATACCCCTGTCAAGAACCACCCCACAATTGGGGCAAATTTGGAGATTTTGGTTAACATCATTTGGTGAAAAGATGAAAAAGATTTCTTTGCTCTCACTGGTATCAATCTTTTTGTGGTAACTTCAGGTGAATCCTTGTGGAAGCTCGAAACATCCCAAAATGAAGAAGAGCATTCATTTCTCTACCCAAACACTCATACCCTTTGTTTAGCCAAGTTGAGCCTGAATATTCATTTCTAAAGCCCAAGTGGTGATTATCTCCCTATACCGGGACAAAGCATGTGATTTATCAAGACAATGGATACTCGTGAGACAATGTGAAAAACATCTCGAAAGTCCTAAAAGCTCAGAAAAAAAATGAAAAGTCAAATGAAAACTAGGGGGCATGAAAAAGCAGTGTGCCTAGTAAAAGCAAGGCCAATGCCCATTTTTTTTTTAAAAAAAAAAAGAGAGAAAAGTAGCATCAAGAGAAGAATCCTTTTGTGAGGAAAAAGTGTCAAAAGCAAAATGCATGCATGAAAAGAAAATCATTGCAAATGCAAAAGTCATTAGAGAAAAGAGCAAAGCTCTTGTATTGAAATGATTAGTCAATGGACTTTCGAGACAAATTGGATTTCAAAAGGCAAGTGTCCTCGAAAAGATTGGATGATATGGTAATGATGCCATGGTGATCACCAACTTTTAAATCCTTTTGAAAATTTCTGAGCCTTTTGAGCCTTTACCCAAACCAATGTTATAACCTTCTCCAAAGTCTCTTCGGATTGGGATGGTTTAAGCAGAAATTTGGATTCCCAAACAAGCTATCGCTTGAAGAAGTGGGGGCAAAGTTATCTTATCTCATCTTAAGGTTTCTTGACTTGTAAACCTGATGGAGATGCTGATTGAAAATTATTTCATTCCTTAGCCGATAATGCTTATCCATTGTTGAAACCGTGACCAAATCTACATTACGGTCCTTTGAAAGACCTCTTAGATTGGTCAATGTGTACTTATTGCGAATGATTCTCAAAACCTTCGACAGCGGTCATGTGAGGTATATTGAGTGATCAAACTATTTCCCACATTGATGGAAGGGATCAAGCAGCCTTCTTGAGAGTATGTGACAAGCCCTTTTCCGATTAAGGAGTTCTTGTTTGGCATACTTAATGAGCCCTTTTCATGAGTTAAGGTCATTTTGACAAAAGACTTTCTCCTAAGGGAATTTGATGATTAATGACACTTCTCAAGCCTGATGGCAATCTTGTTATGTTGAATGATGCAAAATATTTTCCAAACAATCAAAACTAGCTTGAATTGCTCATGCAATCAATGCTTTCTCATTGATGATACCATTTTCATATGGCCTCTCGTGATGTTATCTTGCACGGTACCCATTCGCTACCGGAGCACTTGTTATAACACATCCCGTTAGATGTGCGAGATGCCTCCTCGGAATTTCCTCAATATTCGACGGATATGGTGAGCTCTAACAGCCCGAAACTATTCTTACATAAGAAGTCTTTCCTACGTGGGACCGTGCTTTCTGAAGGTTTGTGCATTTGTCCTTAAACTACGCAATGCAAAGGTTTATGCATTTATTGCATAACACCCTGATTCCAAAAGATCAGGTTTTTCTTTAAACCCTGATTTCACAAGGTTCTGGGTCTTCCTTAAACCCCGATTTCAAAAGTTATGGGTCTTTCTTTAAACCCTGATTTCAAAAGGTTCCGGGTCTTTCCACAAACCCTGATTTCAAAGGTTCTGGGTCTTTCCTAAAACCCCGATTTCAAAAGGTTCCGGGTCTTTCCTAAAACCCTGATTTCACAAGGTTCCGGGTCTTTCCTTAAACCCCGATTTCAAAAGGTTCGGGTTTTCCCGAAACCCCGATTTCGAAAGGTTCGGGTCTTTCCCGAAACCCCGATTTCAAAAGGTTCCGGGTCTTACCTTAAACCCCGACTTCAAAAGGTTACGGGTCTTTCCCGAAACCCCGATTTCACAAGGTTACGGGTCTTCCTTAAACCCCGATTTCAAAAGGCTCCGGGTCTTTCCTAAAATCTCGATTTCAAAAGGTTCCGGGTCTTTCCTTAAACCCCGATTTCAAAAGGTTCCGTGTCTTTTTCGAAACCCTGATTTCAAAAGGTTCACAGGTCTATCCTTAATCCATGTTTTTTACAACATAAAGTCCTAAGTGAAAACCTTAGGCACATTACAATCTTGAGTGAAAAACATTAGGTATTTCAAAATCTTGAGTGCAATTTGCCGTTCATAGGGTTTTAGTCCCTAGGTGTACTTTTAGGGTTTTAGTCCCAAAGCTAAATCTTCGACGTTCATAGGATTTTAGCCCATAGGCGGAATCTTCGACGTTCATAGGGTTTTAGTCCCTAGGCGTTCCTTCAAGGTGTTGTTCCTATTGCCGTTCATAGGGTTTTAGTCCCTAGGCGGGATCATAGCTGTTCATAGGGTTTTAGTCCCTAAACAGAATCTTAGACGTTCATAGGGTTTTAGTCCCTAGGCGCTCCTTCAAGGTGTTGTTCCTATTGCCGTTCATAGGGTTTTAGTCCATAGGCGGGATCATAGCTGTTCATAGGGTTTTAGTCCCTAAACAGAATCTTAGACGTTTATAGGGTTTTAGTCCCTAGGCGCTCCTTCAAGGTGTTGTTCCTATTACCGTTCATAGGGTTTTAGCCCCTAGGCGGGATCTTAGCTGTTCACAGGGTTTTAGTCCCAAAGCTAAATCTTCAACGTTCATAGGGTTTTAGCCCCTAGGCGTTCCTTCAAGCTGTTGTTCCTATTGCCGTTCATAGGGTTTTAGCCCTTAGGCGGAATCTTCGACGTTCATAGGGTTTTAGTCCCTAGGCGTTCCTTCAAGGTGTTGTTCCTATTACCGTTCATAGGGTTTTAGTCCCTAGGCGGGATCTTAGGTAGCGAATGATAACCATTCTGTTCCGGAATGAGTTCCTGAACCAGAAATAGATTTTTCTATTTCTGGTTCCTGGATGAGTTTCTGAGAAAAAAAACCCGTTTGATAACGACCAAAAATTTTTATTTCTAGAACAGAAACCCGTTTGATAACAGCACAAAATTTCTATTTCCTGAAACAAAAACCCGTTTGATAAACAATAGAAAATTCTATTTCCAGGAATAGAAATCCATTTTTTTGGAAATGGAATAAAAATAATTAAAAAATCCGAAAAATTCATAAAAATCTCAAAAAAAATTCAGAAAATCCCAAAAAATTGAAAAATTCCAGAAAAAATCATCAAAATGTCGAGAAAATAAAAAAAATTCAGATTTCGGGAAAATAAGAAATTTGTTTAATTTTTTCAAAAAAAATCAAGAAATCAAAAATTTCAAAATTTCACAGAATTGCTTAGAATACCTATAGTCACCCACTTTGAGTAAAATTTATATTTTTTGAGGTGCCCAAAAAAAAATAAAAAATAAAAAAAATTCAAAATTTCACAAAATGGCTTAGAATACATGTGGCCACTCACTTTTTGAGTAAATTTTAATTTTTTTGAGATGCCCAAAAAAATTTTAAAAAATTAAAAATTTCAAAACTTCACGGAATGGCTTAGAATACCGTGGCCAACCATTTCAAGAGAAATTTAATTTTTTTTGAGATTCCCAAAAAAAAATAAAAAATCTAAGACAGCCCCTCGTCACTTGATGTTTGGTGAAGAAATTAATGTTCAAGAACTTTAATCACATCCGTACGTGGTGGTAATCACTGAAAAGAAAAGAAGGGGTCACTGGCTAATGATAACGTATCAAGGCATGCTTTAATTTACTCAGATGGCAATTGAGGGTGTTCAGTGTTTGCATTTCCCGCAAAGCAAAGGATATGTTGGTTACAAAGGTCTAAAGCTTGTCTTTGAAACAAAGCTATCAACTGTGATTCATCCATCTGTAGTTCTCACTCCCACACTTTTGCATTACGTCGAAGCTCGCCTTTTCTTTTTCCGTTTTATTTTGTGGCAATTTGTGAAGAAGATTCCACAATCTATAAATAGGACTATGGCTTTTCTGCTACTATCCGAGTGGATCTCACTTCCGAGGAGTTTTTGGTCTTCACCAAGGTCAGAGACAAGTTACTTCCTGATTCAATTTTCTCTGTTCCTGATAATTGACTATGGAAGGAGCACTTTTTTGCTCATTACATGTAGAATACGACAGAAGTTTCAGAAATATAATCCAGGAACATATCAAGGTAGACATGATCAAGCGAAAAGAAAATTTGCTATGAGTCAAATACTCGAGTCAGTTGCCTCAGTTTGCAATATACATGCTTTTGCATAAGATAGCAGCATGCACACAAGATTTAAGACCTCTATAGACTATACATAGTCTCTTAGCACAAGAGATCCCGACTTCCACCAAATAAAGCTCAAACTGATGAACATTTTAATCATGCACGGTTATTGCAGAGCTCATCTTCTTATTCCTCTCAGTAAAACCGCCGTATGAAGACAATCTAGGGAGGCAACAAGTCACAGTTCTAACCGGTTTCTGCTCCTCCATCACATGGTCTCCATTAGGAGTCCTTTCGCCGCTACACATGAAAGTGGAAGGCGTTCCTTGATCAGAGATCAGAAGAACATCGAGTATAGTTGGCTTGGCTTCAGCCTTTTCTTCTGCCATAGCTTTGTGAGCCGAAGCATCATGATCGGCAACATCTTCTTGATCCGTGAGGCTATCTCGGAAAAGTTCAGCGAGTTTCTTTTTCTTACTTGTTGGGGAAGGCTTGGGAACAAGGACAGGTGCTTTGTCCCGAGGGGCATTCTTAACCAATTGTGTTCCCCTGAATAAGGATGGGTGGATAGGAGTGTTTCCACGGGAAGGAGTACTCCCACGAGAAGGAGTGAAATCTGCAGTAGAAACAAGAATGAGCACACAAATAATACAAAAAAGTATTATAGAATGATATAAGCCAGGAAAGAAAATGATGACACAATAAACAGCATATCTCGTGAGTAAAGCAAAATCTTGCTCCTTCTCTTGTTATTTTTCTTCCTTAGGATTGAATAAATATAAGAGTCAGGAAAATCTGCATAGCTAAAATAAGTGCCACGACCTCAATGACAGAATTTTCCATGCAGTTGTTAACTTTAAGGCATATGATGATTAAAAGCAAACTCATAAAGATGATGAGAGACTTTAGGTAAGTTCATGATGCTATATCAGGTATGGAGTTGGACAACTGCACTTTGGCTGGACAATTATCAATCGATTAGAGATCAGTGCTAGTTGCAGCCCCTGTTCTTAATGTCAAGATGGTCTCAGGTACATTTTTTAAGAGACTTCAATTGATTTCCATCAATTCGCTCAATAGAAGACTGAACACCCAATTCATCGCCCCCTACCCAGAGAGAGAGAGAGAGAGAGAGAGAGAGAGAGAGAGAGAGAGGAATTTGTGAGTGGTGCATACTAATTAAGTGAGAGTGCTAAGATTGTTGTCTAAACCCTGCCATTTTTTAGAGGGGAAATCAAAGGAGTGGCGGTAGCTTAAAAGCGTCCTCCTTAACCAAGAGCAACTTAAATTGATAAATGAAGCAGGCAACTAAAGAAACATTAAACAAACCACGAACCACCACACATGTCACCATTGACACTGAAAAAAACATCTTCACAGTCGTACTCTAACCAGGGCTTCGAATCGAAGAAAACATCCTCTTTACTGCCTGCATTTGACAAAGATATATTGTTCCAGTTCAAGCATTGACAATATAAGAAAATTAAACCACACCTAGGAAAAACACAAAGCACGCATTCAGATTTAGGCATCAAGAGAAGCAAAGCACATTGACCCACTCAGCTCAAAGATCAAAACCAGTAATTACATGATAGTTTATTCCTTTAGTCAGCTAATTATAAAGACAACAAAGCAGAAAAACTAGTGCTGCAAACATCATCACCGCTCTCTAATAGAGCGGGGGGAGGCCAGATCTGGGGGAGGCCGAGCGGCCTCGCCATGGCCGCCGGTCGACCTCGCGGTCGCCCAGGCCGAGCGGCCATGGCGGGGCCGCCGGTCGACCTCGCGGTCGCCCAGGTCTGGGCGACGGCGAGGCCGACCGCCGGCCTGGGCGAGGCCGAGCGTCCTCCCCAGACTGGGGGAGGCCGAGCGACCTCGCCCAGGCCGGCGGTCGGCCCAGCCGTCGCCCAGATCTGGGGGAGGCCGCTCGACCTCGCCCAGGCCGACCGCCGGCTTGGGCGAGGCGGAAGCTGACCCCCCCTGATCACGGCGACTTCCAAATCCAGAAAAGAGAGCGAGCAAACGAGCGGAGGATCGGAGCTTACGTGGAGCAGGAGCGAGCGGCCCTGGCTTCCTCTCGGTCGGAGCGAGCGAACGAGCGGCCGGCTTCCTCTCGACGGCGACAGAGAGAGTTCAGAGAGAGACGGGCAGATCAGAGAGATGAGAGGAGACGAGAGACATGTTTTGAAGAGAACGACTTCCTCAGAAATGGTTCTGAGTTTTGTTCAAGAAACGAAAAACCAACTTTTTTTTGGTTCTGATTTCTGGTTTCAGAACCGGTTCTGGGACAAAACTTGTCCCGGAAATAGAAAAATTAAATTGCGTTAACAAACGGGTTTCTGGTCCAAAACTGATTTCGGGAGCAAAAAACCAGTTCTGGATAGAACCAGAATGGTTATCATGCGGGCCCTTAGCTGCTCATAGGATTTTAATCCCTAGGCGGAATTTTCGACGTTTACAGGGTTTTAGTCCCTAAATGTCAATCCAGAGTCTTTTTCTTGGCACGGTGAGCTTTTGCAGCCCGGAGCACCCATTTGATCTGGCGAGCATTCGCAGCCCAGAGTCTTTTTCTTTGCACGGTGAGCTTTTGCAGCCCGGAGCACCCCTCCGACCTGGTGAGCTTTCGCAGCCCAGAGTCTTTTTCTTTGCACGGTGAGCTTTTGCAGCCCGGAGCACCCAATTGATCCCACGAGCTTTCGCCCCAAAGTCTTTTTCCTTGCACGGTGAGCTTTTACGATCCGGAGCACCCCATTGACCCGCGAGCTTTGCAGCCTAGAGTGTTTTTCCTTGCACGGTGAGCTTTTGCACTGGAGTTTCCTTTATATCTCTTGTGAACATCAGGTAAGTATGTTTACTCTCTTTAAAAATAAAAAAAAAAGGAGAAGAAGAGAAGAGAAGAAAAAAAAAATGAGGCCTTCACAAGTATGTCCCTGAGCCATGCTCCTTATGTCAAATCCTTTATGAGAAACTTAGGCACCTCAAGTCCTTCGTGAGAAACTTAGGCACAATCTATCAAATCCTTGGGTGAGGAACCCGAGTGCTCATTCACTGAATCTTTTCAAGCCTCGCTGGCAAAGAGCCTCTGAGCAATCCGATCCAACCTACAGGTATGTAAACCCAGGTACGCATCAAAGGTTTGTGGTCCAACCTTAAACCACGCTTCAAAGGTTTGTGGTCCCACCTTAAACCACGATTTCCAAAAGTTTGTGGTCCAACTTTAAACCACACTTTATTCATCTTATTTTATTTTACTTATTTTATTCTCATCTTATTTTGTTTTATTTTCTTTTCTTTTCTTTTCTCGTGCGTAAAGCCAACTTTCGCTTGCCTTCCGCTGACAAATTTAGGTGTCTTTTGTCTTTGAAGGGAACCTCTTCGAGCTCCCCTTCAAAGAGGGGCAGCTGTTGACACCTAAATTTTTTGCCCAAAAATCATTTTCGAAAAATTGGAACTTGTTTTTCCACAAAAATATTTTGGAATTATTCTACTAAAAAAAAAAAAACGGAAGAGCAAGGGCCAAGGATTCGAGTGTAGCTAGCCGAGACCTGAGGGATCAAATTGCAAATGAACCAGCAAGTTGGGGCCAAAATACAATTTCCAAAAGTTGGGGGACCAAATCGCAAAATTTGTTAAATTTGCCCCCAAGCCCTTAAATCATCATTTTTACCCCTAATCAAGCTTGAAATTGAAAACGGGCAAGGTAAAATTGATCAGATCAAGCCAAAAGGACTAAATTGGCTCAAATCGGGCATTCTCGGACAAGAAAGTGGCTAATTTTGAGGGACTTTCCTGCAAACTTGGGCATGGAAAATTGCAAATTCTGATTATCATCTTAAACTAATATACTTCAACTTTCAAACTGATCAAAAATTCCGACCAAATGAATGGATTAAAGCACTTAAATTAGCTTCCAAAAACCGGTCCACGATTTGGTCTCAATTCGAGGCTGCTGAGTAGCCAAATTTGTGGCCCCACCATATCCTACTCAGCCAGCCGATCAGCGTGAACTCTGGCCGAGGTGTGAGACCATCATTAGGAGTGCAAATGGACAAAAATTTGCCATGGATAAGCTGCTGAAGACACGTGATAATCTCAGTCAAACCTGCTCACTCAACAGCTGCAAATTATGATGATTTTGGAGTCAGAAAGTTGGTGAAGAGACTCAGTTTGCAGGCTTGGTAAGTGGGCAATCACGGGCTAAAAATCTGGTTGGATTCGGTGGATAGGATCGCTGAAGCACGTTATTTTGGGGGATAAAAATAAAGGGATGAGACAAGAGGAGGGGGGGGGGGGGGGGGTCGGTCGTTCCAAAAACTCACCCTCGGACGCAACTCAAACGGAAAATCAACCAAAAAAAGTTCCAGATTGGCTTTTGGAGAGAAAAGGGAGATTTTCATGAACTTCGAGCCAAAATTAGCCAAAACCTTCAACTAGATAGTGGAACTACATTCAAAGATCTTTCCAACCGTAGGTCGCACGTCCCAAATGGATGTCGGGAAGCCATCCAAAATCCCCTCGAAAAGCAGCCCATTCTCGGGTCAAGAGAGACCCAGAAATTTTCCAAAGTGTTGGAGTCAGACGGTTACTGGTGAGGGAAAGTGGGAGTTTTTGAGAGTCATGAGAAACATATGAGGATACCCTTGACATGGAAATTAAACTAGAATACATCTAGTTGGGGTTGGTGTCAAATTAGTCAGAAGAAGAGGTCGTTGATTCTGGTTTTGGAGAACAACAAAAACCTTCGTTGTCAGTTCTTTCTTTGCAGATCTCATTTTCCAGTTTGAAGAAGCCTATTTCTCCGCGCCTTGGAAGACAATTTTTTGGTTCCCTCAGCCAAGGGATACTTCAAAGAGAAACTAGGAAGCAAGGTGAGTATCCTACATGTATTTTTGTTCCATTTTGAACATGTTTTAGTCATGAAAAAATCAAGAGAAAACTAGCCCAGAGAACTGATTTCTGAGGCTGGAATTTTTCTAAGTGTTGGAACCCCTTCATGAGCCATATATGTTTGACTTGCTACTCCTCTTTGCATGCGTTTTCTACCTTCATGAGCCTGATGAATGTTATATGGGTGTACAAATTATGCTGAGATCCACTTGGTTTGGTCTTTGAATCCCCGTGTGAACCATGAGATGGCTTGCAACTTGAGTAAGAAGCCAAGCTAACCCACATTGATTCATGGCTAGTCATTATGAACCATGCATGTATGCTTCTTGGGGGTTGTTTCGACGTGTTCGCTTGATCATTCTCCATGATGTTTGTTTCATTTAAAAGTAGATGTTACGTATATTCTCTCAGATGAAGTGATGTTTCCTATAGATCTTGCACGTGATGAGTGTCGGGGCTTAAACCTGGGCATGCAACAGGTTTGCTTGACCTGGGTTTAAACCCAAATTTGCAAAAGCAGCCCGAACCCACATATCGGGGGCCGATTCCAACTTGGTTCTCGTGCGTTTTAGGTTGTGATTTCTAGCTAATCTTGTTCTTTGCATGTGATAATATAACCTTGATACTTTGGTTCCACTTGATATTACACACGGAGTAAGATTGAAGGCCACGAATATGGCTCGAGGAAGCCATTTGGGGCATTTTAATGCACACCAAATGCTCGACGAAATGCCCAAACCAAGTTTCGATCTTGAAACGGTTGATTTGAGCCCGGTTCTCGTAATATTCATTTTCTGAGTTGTTTCATGTTCACGTAAACCGAGCATAGGCCGATTTAGGGAATTATTATTATTATTTAAATAAAAAACGAAAAAAAAAAATAGAAAAATTTCGAAAATCCAAAAATTGGAAATTGGGCTTCAGAATTGCTTTTCTCTCCCTTTTTGTGGAATTAGCGTATGTTTGATTGCTCCTCGCTTGATTCGCACGCTTTGAATTGCATGTTTAATTTAAACTCGCATGTGGTTGATTATGCATGTTAGGTTCATGTAGTGATTGTTGCTTCCCTTAGCTTGGTTAGGAATGAATTTTTTAAACTCCCAGTTAGTGTGAACACGTTAGGTGGTGAATTGAGCAAGATTAGGTACCGAAAGGGCACTAGTTGGTCAATTAGTGTAATCAAGTCCCCGTACCCATTGAATCTCTGGTTCGTAGAAGTAAAGCATTTCTCCCCTGCTTTGCTTGGGTGTCTAATCGACCCACCAAAAACTGATTAGTGGCGACTCCTAGGTGAAATTGATTTCCATGTTAATAACTTTAACTTAAGTCGCGAATTGGTATGAGCTTGGGAGAGCTCGAGCTAGGTTTAACTTAGTAATCCATTAGCCTAACCCCTTAGGCGGCGGGGCCGGTTTAGGAAGGGTCGCGACAAAGTTTTTGTGTTTTTCTTGTTCTATATCTTCGCGCAATTC